CTAATCAATTGACATGTGTCATTTTACTTAATCTTGGTTAATTTCTTTCAAAATTGAAAAACTAAGATAATTAACTAAAGTGAAGTGAAATGACACATGTCAATTGATTAGGTGTATGACGAACATACATCATAGTTTTTATAATGAGCAAAAATGCTCCCCAACCGTTGGGGGTAGCGGAGTGAGTGGATCCCACGATTTCAAAAAACTTGGGCGCTAAATAAAGTCGTCGTCGTCTTTCCTTTTCTGGCTGAGTTTGCCTTCTTAGGGCTGGTTTGGTATTGCTGTGCTTTGAAAAAAAGCTGCTTCTGCTGTGTTGTGAGAATAAGCAGCTGTGAAATAAAGCAGCAGAGTGTTTGGTAAACTTTTTTGTAAAAGTGCTTTTGAAAAAAAAAAAAAGCAGTATTAGAGTGTTTGGTAAACTTTTATGTAAAACAGATGTGAAAAAAAGCCAGTTTTTCAAAGCTAGGTTTTGCAGCTTCTTGTTTTTGGCTTTTTTTCATCCAAAACTGTGAAAAAAAGCTGAAGCTGAGTGTTTACCAAACACAAAAACAGCTCCCAGCTTTTTTTGATAGCAGATTTTTTCAGAATCACCTCAATACCAAACCAGGTCTTAAACCAACCCGGAATTCTCGCCCCAAACAAATATTCAAACCTTTCCGTTTCTTCCCTTCACAAATTTCCAATTAGGGTTGCACATTAACCTTGATCAAAACTTCTACGTACATATATATACATATATATACATATATATAATCTCTCTCTCTCCCCCTCTGTTTCTGAATTTTGATTTCCCGGGAAAGTTTCGAACCCGATCGTTTCTTCGAAAGTCTCCGAAAGCTTTTCGACAAAACAAAAATCCAAAATATTTGTGATATCAAAAAGGAAATAAATTTCAAAACTTGCATGGAATTGGCTGGTTCATTTGCCTGCAAGTTGGTTCAGATAGAGAGAGATGGAGGGAGGGGAGAGAGAGATTGAGGGAGGAGAGAGAGAGAGATGAACGAAGAAATGGTGTAGTTCGCAAGGGAGGCTTTCGAGGGGGATGAAATTGACATGGACTATGAATTCGATGCGCCAAAGGCTCTACGATTTCACTAGGCCGGAATCCGATTGGGAGGCCGAGGAGGCGGAGGAATGGTTCCGGTCAGCCGGAGGCTATGTGCCCTCGCGTAAGCGATTTCCGGAACATTTGTTTGTTGTTTTCTTAGCATGTCCCAAAAACAATGAATAATTTTGGATCATCTTCTATGATTACCACATTAATTAATGATCGTTTTCTGCTAATTAATTTCAACATCTACATGTTTAGTTCATGCCTTTTAATTATGTTACGTTGTTTTATATGAACAGATTAGAGATTAATTGGATTATAAATATTGTAATTTGATTGGATTAATTTGTTACCACTAACTTTGTTTTTTATTTGTTTAATTGGTTTCAAATCCTTTAGCTTTCCTTGAAAATTTGTTGAATTGGCAAAAAGAGAATCATCCGGTACTTGTAAAAACCTCAGTGGAATCGAAAGATGTTGAAGTTAGTAGATGTAGTAACTCGAATAATTGCATGTAAGCGGAGGTCTCTGCATCCGTAGATGATAATGACAAAGGTACATTCTGCCTCATCGACTCATTTCTTATTAGATTTTCGATACAATGTGATAATTTGTTGTAAAATTAATACACTTGGAAAATTTTATTTCTGTTTTCTAAATCGGCTTTGCCTGAATTAGTACATGAAATTGTATCTTACTGTTATGTTTTATGTTCCTGTTTCAACACGATTAGAGTTTTCTAATCACATGGCTCAAGACACTCCGAAAACCAAAGGTCCCCGGGTAAGTCACCACATCTATCAAGGAGTTCAACGTTAATGACACCCACGGCGAGTCAATTGGCCAAGCAAAATCACCACCGAGAGGTTCACTCCAATCGGTTATTAAGGAGGTGCTATTATTTTTCTCTGATGTTTCTGTTTTCATCAATGTATCTTTGGTTCTAATTGTTTGGTGGTCTAGTTTTCTAACTTGTCCCATTTTCCGACTCTTGATTGAAGAGGTGCGAAAAAGCTCGGGAAACTTGATGACAAATCACAATTCTCCGCCACCTACGATCGGCTACGAAAATTCGAAGCAAAGTAGCATAGCACTTTGCAAATTAAGTACTGCTATCTATACACGTATTTTTACTTCTCATACATCCCTTTTAATTTTGCGGCCATTGGAAAAATTGGTGATAAATAGCACTATTCTGCAAATTACGCAACCGAAACTATATCAGAAGAGCGATTATAAAGAATTAAAGTACCATCTCACTAAATTATCCAACAATGTTTCAGAGATTAGAAACAATCATACCACTTTCAGCTCAGTCATTCCATCAAACGGCTGCCACGCTGCAACTCCACTTATGCTCAAATCACCACCGTCCGTTCCCACCATCGATTCCATCAAATTCTCCGAAACGCATTTCTCAATCAAATCCAAACACAGATGCAACCACACCCTGACACCCAGAAAATTAAAAAGTCGAACTTTACATAAACTCCACTCCGAAAACATAAATTACACAAAACCCAACAAAATCTCACCCTGTTCTACGACAATCCGAGTTGAATCCACCCTATCGTACGTGTCCTCCGAAGCCCTATCCAACCCGATATAGTACGGCGAGTCATTGGGCTTCGCAACCCAGCTCGCCCGGGAGGACATCCGGACCCGCGGGTGGACAAGCTGGACCGCGGCAGCGTTCTGGGGAGCTCCGCCAGGTTGGAGGAGGACTGGGAGGGGGAAGGTGGATCGGCATCATTTTAGGTAGAGCTGGATGCAGTAATAGAGAGCACATGGGATTAGAGAGCCGAGGATGAGGCCGCCTCTGCCTTGGACGACGCCTTGGAGTGGCACAATCGGTCTCATCGCGGTGACTCCGGTGGGCTTGTTTCGGGTGGGGTCGGAGTCGAGTTCGCGGGTCCGGGTCTCGAGCTGTAGTGGGAGGGTTTCGGGTTGACCGTTGGTTGGCGTACAAACACCATCGTCGTAGTTTCCCGAAAAAACAAAGAAAAAAAAAATAGAACGAAGTTTTATCCTCTTTCGGGTACATATGTAATTTTGAATCGAATGTTTTTCTTATCATATTTTTCATACCGTATTTGTAACCATGATCTAATAAAAATGAGATACATATTATGTGGAATCTTTTTATTAGAGAGATTGAGAAATTTTTTAATGTGATCAAAACAATAACTATACCATATGTCATGGTACAAATACTAGATACTATTTCATGTTTCAAGCACACCTTAAAAATCTCTCAGAAAGGTGGTAAAATGTAAGAGCAACTCCAGCGTGTTAAGGCCCCCAAGGCAACTTCCTATTGAATAGCCTTCAGTGAACATTAATTGCATTTTGCATCTCCACATCGAAACTGAATAGTCATTGCAATATGCAATAAAATATTAGTATTTTTTATTTTATAAAATAATAAAAAAATAATTTTATTTCAAATTTCGGATATAATTTTTAATCAGTCTCGTTGTACCATGTTTCATTAAATAAGAAATTACAACCCAAAGAATTTTTTTATTAATTGTTTACATTTTTTTACATTTTTTATTAATTTTATAATGTAGCTGATGCCATCCTAGCATCATTCGGCCTTAGGCTCTCGGGCCTCTCACTCAGACCCTCCCTCAGTTCACACGCCCGTATGGGCTGAAGCAAGCAGCTCGGGCTATTGGGTGGGAAAAATCAAAGGTCCATCGGGCTACTCCTCCCTGGAGATGCTCTATAAGACTTTATGAATGATGGCAGGCCTACCAAATATAAAATGGCGACTGTTTGTTTATTTCTCAAACCCAGCTGGTGCAATGGTTGGTGTGGTCTAAATTGTTGACCTCAACAACTGCTATCGCTACAGCATAGCAATTTTCCGGCTCGGCTGACTATATTGCAAATATGTAAACTTTCTTTTTATTCATCTCCGATTACATTGTTAATCACCTATTTAATTCGAGTTTTCCTTTCTCACGGTATCGAAAATATACCAGCGTATAATGAATCCGCTCATATATATATATATATATATATATAGAGGCAGAAGAGGAATTCCTATTTTTCAAAAAAAAATGAAGATACCCTATTGATCGTTAGATTTGCCTTCAATGAAATTATGTAGTTGAGATTAAATCATAAGCCATAGAATCTCAACCACAGAATTTCATTAAAGCCAGATTTAACGGTCAAGAGGGTTTTCAAAAAAAAGGGGGATCCCTCTTGAGAAGGGATTCCTCTATATATATTCCCAAGTAGAGGGCATAGAAAAAGAATCTTCGCCGGATTCTTTTTCTAGAGATCCCGTAATCGTGAACGTTTATCGTACATCATGCATTTTAAATTTAAAATAATTTCTGACTGCACGATGTACGATAAACGATCACAGAATCTTTAGGATTCCCAAAAAAAAAAGATCTGGGGCATATAGTATACCAGTACTCATTAAATTACTGAACATTGAATCAGAATAAGTGTGCAATATGATGGATTACACAAGTCAATGGGAGGGGCTCTTTCTCTTCTGTTTTCTTAGTGTTGTCAATTCGAGTGGCCTTCCTAACATTTTCCTTATAAACTGCTTTTTTTAATAAAATTTAAAAATAAAAACGTATCATCTTCCCAACTCAGAATGTTCAAATGACTTGATAAAATTTCATTGAACTTTAGGTGAATGAATCAAGTTTTTACCAGAGATAACTGTTAATCTACGATGACTATTTTATTCAAAAAGTTTTTAGTAGTTTAAAATCATCAAACTAACTTTTTTTTTTAATGTGTTAAAACTGGTTACCTGCAGATAACGGGTTCTTAATATGTAACTTGATACTAACTCAATTAGTTAACGTGTTGACTTGAAACCTATAATTTTTGTATCATTTCGAGTGGGGTTAATAGATCGTATAAGATATTGTCAAATCTAACATTTGATAGGAAAATTTGAAAGGCTTGATGAACGATGGCAGGCCTACCAAATATTCCACACAAACGTATTCATATAGAGATTTTTCTCCATCAATTATAGATACTTCGTCTGCCAGAAAAGGTAGGATACAAAATGGCAGAATCAGTTGTATGCTTTGTGATCGATAAGTTAATTTCACTACTCATCACCACAGAAGCGAAACTTTCAAGAGACGTGCGTGCTGAAGTTGGTTTTCTCAGAGATGAGCTTGAAAGCATCCGATCGTTCCTCAAGGATGCAGATGCTAAAGCAGCAGCAGCAGAAGGAGACATGGTGACTGACAGTGCCAAAACTTGGGTCAAACAAGTAAGGGAAGCAGGTTTTTACATTGAAGATGTCATCGATGAGTATTTGCTTCGTGTCACAAGGCACCATCAAGACCGCGGATTCGTTCGCTTTGTCCACAAAGTTGTTTGGTTTCTGAAGAAAATGAAACCACAGGATGAGATAGCCTCAAAAATAGAGGGCATGAGAGCATTGGTTAGTGAAATCAAGGCTAGACATGAAAGATATGGACCTAGTTCAATTGATCAGCAAGGTCAAAGCAGTGGAGAAATTGTTGATTCGTGGCATGACCCTCGAGTGGCTTCCCTTTTCATCGAGGAAGCTGAAGTTGTTGGTGTGGATTCTGCCAGAGATGAGCTGATTAGTTGGTTGGTAGGAAAAGCATCAGGAGGCGAATACCGTGAAGTAATATCAGTGGTTGGCATGGGAGGACTTGGTAAGACCACTCTCGCCAAGAAAGTCTATGACAACCAAAAGGTGATCGAACACTTCGATTGCCATGCTTGGATTACAGTGTCTCAGACGTACAAGGTGGAGGATCTTCTGAGGCAGATGGTAATGCAATTCTACAAGGCCAGGAAGGAATATACCCCGGAGGGCATTGACACAATGGAAAAAGAATCTTTAATTAGAAAATCAAGAGAATTACTGCAGCAAAAGAGGTACGTGATTGTGTTCGATGATGTATGGAAAGTAAATTTTTGGGAGGCGATAGAACATGTTTTACCGGATAATAAAGGCGGAAGAATAGTGATCACCACGAGGATTAAAGATGTTGCTGATTTTTGCAAAAAGTCTTCTTATGTTCATGTTTACCGTTTGCAACCTCTGCCTCCAAACAAGGCATGGGAATTGTTTTGTAGAAGGGCATTTCAATATGAATTGGAGGGGAACTGCCCTGCAGATTTGAAAGATTTGTCTCTTGAATTCGTTAGAAAGTGCGAAGGATTGCCTTTGGCAATTGTTTCCATAGGTGGTCTGCTGTCAACAAAAGTTAAAGTTGTGTCTGAATGGCAGAAGTTATACAATAGCTTAAGTTCAGAGTTAGAAAGCAATCCCCACCTTACAAGCCTCACAAGAATTCTATCCTTCAGCTATCATCATCTACCGTATCACCTTAAATCATGTGTCTTGTACTTTGGCATCTTTCCCGAGGACTACTCAATTAGTTGCATAAGACTAGTTCGGTTGTGGATCGCTGAAGGCTTTGTGAAACCGAAGAGGGGCAAGACATTAGAAGAGGTTGCAGAGGAATACTTGACTGAACTGATACATAGAAGCCTGGTGCAAGTGTCACAGGTTTGGATCGATGGGAAAGCTAGAAGCTGTCGAGTCCATGATCTGATGCGCGAAGTGCTCCTTAGAAAAGCGGTGGATTCAAATTTCTGTCATGTGTTATCAGAAAATGAGTCAACATTAAAGCCAGTAACTCGACGCCTCTTGATAGACAGCACGCCCTATGATGCCTTGGGAATCATTGAACAGTCTCGCATTCGTTCTTTATTTACTTTCAACCGAGAACAATGGCCCGAGTCTTTTCTCAGTACACTGAGTGGAAACTTTAAACTTATGAAAATATTGGATTTTGCAGATGCTCCCCTGAATCATCTTCCGAAGTATGTGGGGGATTTGCATCTCTTGAAGTACTTAAGCCTAAGGAATACAAAGGTGAAGTTGCTTCCAGAGTCCATATGTAATCTGCAAAACTTAGAAACCCTGGATTTAAAACAGTCTCTGGTGTATGAAATACCAGCCAAGATCAATAAGCTTCTAAGGTTGCGACATCTTTTGGCCCATTATACTGACCCCAGCATAGATTTCAGCATGATCAGTTACGAACGAGGAGTGAAAGTACATGATGGTATTGGATGCTTACAAGCTTTGCAAAAGTTATACCATGTGGAAACAAATCACGGCGGAATCAACCTAATTAAAGCATTGGAAAAGTTGAGGCAGCTGCGAAAGTTGGGCCTGAAAAACTTGAAACGTGAATATGGACAAGCTCTATGTGCTTCGATTGAAAAGATGAACCACCTTGAAACTCTAGAAGTAAGCACAATAAGTGAAGATGAAGTCCTTGACCTGCAATCCATTTCAACTCCACCCGAATCTATTCGGTTTCTCTACTTGAAGGGGCCTCTAGAGAAGTTGCCAAGTTGGATTCCAAAGCTTCAACAACTTGTCAGGCTACGAATTTTTTGGTCAAGGTTGACAGATGCCCCACTGAAAGCCCTTCAAAACCTTCCTAATTTGGTAGAGCTTGGGTTCTCATACAATGCATATGATGGTGTGCAACTGCATTTTGAGGGAGGCTTTAAGGAACTCAGGGTGTTGAAACTCAAGCACTTGCCCAGACTAAACTCATTGATCATAGACAATGGGGCTATGCCTCTTCTCCGAGAGCTACAAATTGGGCCTTCCCCACAACTGAAGGAGGTGCCCTCTGGCATCCAGCACCTCAGAAATCTAAGCTCTCTTAGATTTGTTGACACGCCAAAAGAGTTCCCACAACATATGGATCCAAATAATGGCCAACATTATTGGATTGTTGAACATATACAAGATGTTCTTTTTAGTTACAAGTTGGGACCAAGATGCGGTGTATTTGAAACTCACGCCCTGCATGATTCCAATTGGTGAAAGCCTATCGACAGGTGAGTTTTAATCCCAGAACACCCCATATAACTCACAAGGCTCAAATGAAATCGCCAAATGTCATTGTTGACATGATCTCTGTTATTCTTTATTATTATCAACTGTTTTAGATGTTTGCTTTGTATGAAAACAAAAAATAAAAACTTCATTCATGTTTGTGAGGAGTTGATTGTGTTTGAGCAGGCAACATTGATTATTTCTCACAACCCAGACAAGTGTTTGGCTAATTATTTCTCACACTATCTATTCAAATGAAGGGCTAAGAGTTTCAGTTTGAATGACGGCCTAAATCATTTCATTCGTTCCAGACATGTTTCTGAATTTGAAGCATTAAACCTTTACTCAGCACACAAGCATTGTACGTAAGATTTTTTTTCGGTTGAAAGGCTTCATGGCAAGCCTAACACTGGTCTCCAAGGATAATCACAGGCAACTTGCGAGGTTGAATATCATTTGCAACCCAGCTAGCAGAAACAAAAGAGTCCCTTCTCTAGTACCAAGCTTAGCTAGAGGTCGAGGTTTTCACCACATGAATTAATTACGTAAAATGAAACAAATTAAATCTGCATTATGCATGGTTCGTGATGGATGGCAGATTCAAATCAAAGAGAAGCAGCTATATATGTTAATGGAAGATCAGTGCAAAACGCATAAAGCACATTGTCTGGGGTTTTTGATTCCTGATTCTTGCTTCTTTTTCTTTTTCAGAGTTCGTTTGTTTCACAACTTTCTCTGTTTTTTTTCAAACAACTATGTGCTCACCCCAACCATAAAGCACATTGTCTGGGGTTTTTGGGTATTATATGGCAGAACAGATTGTATGCTCTGTGATCCACAAGTTAATTCACCTACTCATCACCATAGAGGCAAACCTTTCGAGGAATTCACGTATTGAAGTTGGTTGAACTCGAGAGCATCCGATCATTCCTCATGGAAGCAGATGCTAAGGCCGCAGCAGCAGATGGAGAGGCGGCGAATGACAGTGTCAAAGCTTGGGTCAATCAAGTAAGGGAAGCAGCCTTTTACATTGAAGATGTCATTGATGAATATTTGCTTTGCGGCATCATCAACACCATGGATTCCTTCGTTTTTTCCACAAAATTATCCGGTTGGCTAAAAAAATGAGATCATAGGATGGGATAGTTTTGAAAGTTGACGGTATAAAAGAATTGGTTCGTGAAATCAAGGAGAGAAGTGAAAGATATGGATTCAAATCCCTTGATCAGCAAGGCCAGAGCAGTGGAGAAACGACTCTACCATGGAACGACCCTCGAGTGGCTTCTCTTTTCATTGAGGAAGCTGAAATTTTGGGGATTGAATCTGCCAGGGATTGAATTTTTGCAAGGATGATCTATGAATCGAGATTTACAAAATAAACGAATTGGATCGTTGAAATTCAATGTGAAATGAGCCCCACACCTAATCCCTATTTCTTTCAAAAAATAAGAATCCATTTGCATCAAGAGCCTCTCTCTCTCTCTCTCTCTCTCTCTATATATATATATCTTCCCAAGTAGAGGGCATATAGTATACCAGCACTCTCTCTCTCTCTCTCTCTCTATATATATATATATCTTCCCAAGTAGAGGGCATATAGTATACCAGCACTCTCTCTCTCTCTATATATATATATATATCTTTCCAAGTAGAGGGCATATAGTATACCAGCACTCTCTCTCTCTCTTTATATATATATATATATATATCTTCCCAAGTAGAGGGCATCTCTCTCTCTATATATATATATATATCTTCCCAAGTAGAGGGCATATATTATACCAGCACACTCTCTCTCTCTCTCTCTCTCTCTCTCTATATATATATATATATATCTTCCCAAGTAGAGGGCATATAGTATACCAGCACTCAAATTATTGAACATTCAATATGATGGATTACAAGTCAATGGTTGAGACAAACGCTGACTCATCACATCACTTTCATTGATTCGGTCTCCTTGAAATCTAGAAAGTCATCTGCACCTAAGCAGAACACAATTTATTCGTGCTCTCTGTTGATAAGGCGTTTGGGGCAGTTGCAAAGTCGGATTTCAAATCTTCAACACCTCATCAGGATAACGATTATTTGGTCAAGGTTAAGAGATTCCCCATTAAAAGCCCTTCAAAATCTACCTAATCTGTTGGAGCTAGTTTTGAAAATCAATGCATATGATGGTGTGCAGCTGCATTTTGAGGAAGGAGGATTTCAGAAACTGAGGCATCTGGAACTCAGGGACATGGGGGGACTAAATTCATTGATCATAGACAATGGGGTTATGCCTCTTCTCCAAGAGTTTCACATTGGATCTTCCCCACAACTGAAGGAGGTGCCCTCTGGCATCCACCGCCTCCGAAAGCTGAGATATCTTGTTTTTTTTTTTTTTTTTTTTTGACATGCCAAAGGAGTTTGAACGACATATGGACTACAATATTGTATTGTTGCACATATACAAGACGTCCGCTTTAGTTACAAGTTCGGACCAAAATGGGGTTGTATATGAAACTCACGCCCTACGTAATTCCAACTTTTCTTTTTGGTAGAAGATTCCAACTTGTGAAACCAAGCATGGGAATGGGATGGTCTCTTTTTGTACAGTTTTTTGTTTTAGAGGTTTAGGGGTCGTTAATAGTTGGTTGTTAGCTCTGGTATCCTAGTTTCTCTTGCAGGTTGACTGGGAGTGGCTCTTTCTCTTCTGTTTTCTTTGTGTCGTCAAGTCGAGTGGCTTTCCTAGCATTTTCCTTATAATTTTATTGGTGGTTGCAATAAAGCTGTTTGTTTATAAAAATTAAAAATAAATAGGTATCGTCGTCTCAAATGCTCAAATTTCATTGAACTTTTGGTGAATGAATCAAGTTTTTACTAAGATAAATGAATCAAGTTTTTATGAAGATAAATGACAACTATTTACCTCAAATTTTTGTTGTAAAAATGAAAAATCCCTTTCTTTTTTCTTTTTCCTTTTTTTTTTTATTTATTTTTTATTTGTCCCTAAATCAACAATTCAACTATTTGAGAAAAGTAATTGAAGAAAGTTGAGGTATCATCATAAACTCAATTGGCAACATGAGGAATAGTCCAACTATGCAAGATCCCTCATTTCATCAATGAGATTCATTTTCAACACCGCCCCCTCACATGTGGCAAAATTTCAATCCGAACACGTAAACAACACAAATGGGGTGATGTAGAGCACATGTGGCCGTTGGGTTTCAGGCATGGGACAACTTGCTCTAATACCATGAAGAAGTTGGGGTTTCACCATAAAAACAATTGACACTATAGGGAGTAGTTCAACTACTTATAAGTACAAACAAGGTCTCTCCTTCCATCAATATAATATTCATTCTTTAACCGTAATAAAACTGAAGAACATGATTTAGTAAACTAAATCTTATCATTTTTCATCACAGAAGAGGCAGGCATTGATTACCAAATAATAAAAAATAAAAAATAAAGAGGCAGGCATTGACTGTTGGGGTGGTGCTGACCTACTGAATAATAACAAAAAGAAAGACATTTAATTCTTTTTGGGGGTAAAGATGTAATTTTAATCAAAATGCTACTATTGTCACATTTTATAGTATATTTGTACCACATCTACAATAGAGATAAATTTTTTTAATGTCCAAAACACAGATACATACGTTATATGTCATTATACAAGTTTATAGCACATTTGTACCACATCTACAATAGAGATAAATTTTTATATGTCATTATACAAGTGGAGAAACACTTAAAAAAAAAAACTTCCCCAACACTTAGTACAATAACATATGGGGTGCCACCCGTATTTTTAACACATTGAAAATTCTCTCTTAATAGAGATGTAACAGCCACATGTGTTGGAGGGCCTTCTTCTATTAAAAAATATGATAATTTTGAATTGAAATTTTGAAAGGCTTGACTAATGACAACAGGCCTACCAAGTATAAAATGGTGGTTGTTTGTTTATAGGAGAGTGCTTGATTTTAATTTTCGTTTGGTTGTGCTACCTCTTCTGGATCTATGAATGAAGGGAGGAGATTTTTAATTTCCAGGATCTAGTTCATTAATTTGTTGGTCTAATTAAGTGATGCGATAGACCCATGAGTATCGTACTCTCTATCACAATTTATGGTTTGAGATTTTGTTCTCACATGATCTTCCTGTAACATGAAGTTTAACATTTTAATTGTGTAATCATGAGGTTTCCAATGAGCTCAGATGAGTGGTTGAAGTCTACTCATTGTTTTGCAATTAGTGATACTTATTATAATATTTTTATATCTAATTTGTAAGATCTTTTGAAACATAATTCTTCGTGATATATATTTATAATGCTTTTTTATAAATGAATGAAAATATCACAATCTTCTTGTTAAAAAAAATTAAATAAATAAGAGAGGTGGGTAGGTGTTACTGTTGATGCGTAGCCACAGGCAGCCTTGTTGGCTTTGGTATGGCAATTACTAGTCAACTCACATTTTTGTTGTGCCTTGTTCAATGACAAGTGATACTCTGTTTAGTATTTCAGTCACATCAAAAAATTTATCCTTGTATATCATCCCAAATCCAGGGCATAATTGACCAGCAGTTCTTGAATTATTGAAAATTGAATCAGAACACTCTGCAATATGATATGATGGGTTACCGAATCCAATGGATGAGCCAATCGCTGCCTTATCACATCACTTTCATATTTTAATTTACCTTGCAATCTAGAAAGTCGTCTGCAAAGGATTGGGATTACATCCGGATCCGAATTGTGAAAATCTTAAGGATTCTCATATCTTAATCATTCATCGTGTATCATGCGATCAAAAATCATTTAACTTTTTTATATAAAATCAAACACAAATAATACCGGACGAAAACTAACCACATGATGTACGCTAAACGGATAAGATGTAATGATCCCGAGATCCGGAGAGGATCCTCTTCCGTCTGCAACCAAACGAGAAATACTGCACACAGAATTCTAAAATGTTCATAATTTCATATAATTGAGCAAATATTCATCAATTATAGATGCTTTGTCTGCCAGAAAAATGGCAGAAGAGATTGTATGCTTTGTGATCCAGAAGTTAATTCAACTACTCATCACCACAGAAGCAAACCTGTCGAGAAATGCACGTACTGAAGTTGGTTTCATCAAAGATGAACTCGAGAGCATCCGATCATT